GAGGGAGAGAACGCAGAAGGAACGGATGTGCTCAAACTGACGGCGTCGTGGCGTTATTACATGGGGTTCGATTAGTTCTAGTTCTTCTAGTAAGAGTTTAACGGCACTTGCAACACGAATAGCTCATATTATGTGAGGCAGCGTGGTGGAATCAGGCTCTCGTCAATTTTTGGGCATGTAGGGTTATTGAAACCATCTTAAAGCTTGTTCACTTATCTTTATTTGAATGAAAAAATATCCATGTATTATGAAAACAAGTCGAGATATTTGCGAAAGAAGGAGGTGGGGGTCACCTGTTTTCAGAGGTAAAATTAGTGAGAAAATGGCCCCTAAAGATTAGTTATTTCCTTAACTGAAGAGTCCGAGGTAACTAAAAATTTACTTTTTTTGTGCTTTTAATCATCATTTTTCTGAAAAACCCACATAGAAATGAGTTCTTCAATGGGCATGAAGGGTGTTCAGCCAAAAATACAAAAATTTGATAAAAATTCACAAACCTGGGGGAAAATGCAAGTTTCTTCACTTTGATTATTTTGACGAGAGCCTGATTCCACCACGCTGCCTCACATATTATACTGGCGATCAAAAGAAAGGTATCACTTTTTGATTTTGTATAAAATCTAGCCTTTTGAGTCTTTGTGCTTTATCTTTCACGAGGACGGTACAAAGTACTCTGAAAAGTAGGTTATGTTATAAAAATAATATTTTGGTGCTTTAATTCGTGTTCACAGCACCATTGTTTTAAAAAAAATCAGAAAATTTGGATTTTTTCCCCCGAATAGGTTGCGGATTTGTCTGTTCTTTGATATTTATGAAGTTTAGGTCTGTGTTTATTTAAAACTGCATCAACATGTATTGATCATTGTCACCCAAAAGAGACGGTATCTTTAACTCAAGGTCAGAAAAATCACACCATCTGCATACCCAGCGCGCTGCTGTTGTGAAAACTTTCGCCGTCAACAGAGGGACTATCAACTAACCAAAAAAACGGTACTTTGAGACTTGGCCTATTCAAACCCGACCCGGACCAATATATCAGGACAGTGCAGCTGAGAAATCGTTTCAGGAGAACTGTTCAAATTGCAAGACAAATTTTTTGGGACATTTACTCGTCAGCCGGCATACTTTTCCTCACAGATTGAAGGAATTTAAGATCGAAGATAGGATGCCTCAAATAAAGACTGCGTTTCAAGCCAAAATACCGTCAGGCTAAGATGAACAGGTCACAGCTACACGGCCGATGGATCTGAAGCAGTGGGACAGCGTCACCTTCTCGGACAATTCTCAACTCGACGGGAGTAAAAATAGTGTACAGGAGACCACATGAGCACTCTCTGCCATTTCGTCAGTAACACAATCAGCCTATGACATTCCAACAGAACAATTCAACCGCACACCGTGTTCTCAACTCAGAATTAAACTCTCTAAAATCCAGAATAACGTCGCCGTAATGGAAACTGCATAGTACACAGGCTGCCATTTCACCAAATGTTAACCCAATTGAGCCCATATGAGACCGTGTTAACAGTGTTGCTTGTGACATGAATCCCGGTCACATAACTCATTTTGTAGCTTCAGCCAGCCCTCACCAGTGCCTGAAACATCATTTTGCTGGAAGACTTGAGCACTCTATGAGCAGGAGATGCATTGATGTGATGAATGCACGTGGAGATTGCAAGGCTTTCTGGTGTGTGATTATCTTTTTTATTTTACCCCTGTCGTCAAATTTCAGTCATAAAAGAGACGTTTTAGCTGAAAATCAGTCTTTTCGCCTTGAGTTATCTGTGAAATGAAATACTTTATATTTCAGTTTCATGGCCGAAAAAATCATTTTTATCATGAAAACGGAACCAATCGAACGGATAGGGTGATACCTTTTTTCTGATCACAAGTATATAAGTGCCGAAGATCAGAGGTGTTACAAGACAGTAAAATACAAGGAAAGAAAGGAGGAGAGACACCTCGGGTCCACGTGAATCTCGCAAAACGCTTCGACCTTTGCATCTCAGTTGATGGAGATCATAATCAGGTACAAAGATGTTTCTTGTTAATATCCCAGTACTGTGTGTTTCCCGGGAAGCCAAGATGTTTCTCAGTGTTCAAGGGTTCGATGGGATAAGAATGGCGGTAAACGCATAGAACAGACTATAGAACGTGGATATGCGCTATACAAAAGCAAATATTATTGTTATTACAGGTAACAAGACATTTTTGAAATTATACATTTTGCTTTTGAGCCCAAATTTTAGGGACAGTCTTTAACAATGACAATGACAATGACAATCTTTATTCATCTCGCAGGGAGAAATTTGTCTTGGTCGTTAACAATGGCAGTTGACGTTACAAAAGTTAGACTTA